CTAATTACTTTNTATAATTTAGGAGATTTAACTTTTTAAAAAATTTACCAGTAATAGAAATAGAACATTTTTAAAGCATTATGAACAGCAATGTAGTCTTAACTTTCAATACTCTCTATTATCACCTCTCAAAAATCATTTTTTCACACTTTACACTTTATAATTATAATTAAATAAGTTATTTTGACATCACAGTCATATCTTAAAGAAATTTGACTCGGTATTTTTATGAATAGTTAGAATACAATGTTGCTTTCTTAGTATTGTAATAAATTATTTGATAGGATTGAATATTTCCTTGCTTTGATGAAAAAGTGAAATTGAAAGTCACTCAGTTGTGTCCAGCTCTTTGGGACCCCATGGACTGTAGAGTCCATGGAGTTTCTCCAGACCAGAATACTGGAGTGGGTAGCCTTTCCCTTCTCCATGTGATCTTCCCAACCCAGGGATTGAACCCAGGTCTCCTGCATTGCAGGCAGATCCTTTACCCACTGAGCCACAAGGGAAGCCTTAGTTAAAGATTTCCTGTTATATTTAATATTGTACCTCTGAGGTGAATGCCTCTGCTTACCTTATCACCTGTAATGAATAGCTATTATCTTAAGGTAATGTTCTGCTTTTGAATCATGTCTTAATATGACTCTAAGCAGAAACACAGTATATGCTAGATATTTAACCCTTTGTGGTAAGCATTGTAGGTAGTTTTTGAATTGATAAGCATTTCTAACTTCAAGCCACCTAAAAAAGTTCAAAATAGTGCTAGCTTCTGCAGCACGTATACTAAAATTGGAATGATACAGAGAAGATTAGCATGGCCCCTGTGCAAGGATGACACATTAATTCATAAGCCAATCCATATTTTTTAACATATGTAAAATAGATAGCCAGGGAGGATTTGCTATATGACTCAGGGAACTCAAAACTGGGGCTCTGTGACAGCCTGGGTGGGGGCGGGGGCGGGGAATGGGTTGGGAGTTGAGTGGGAGACTCAAGGGGGAGAGGATGTATGTATATATAGCTATGGCTGATCCATGTTGATGTATGGCAAAAACTAACAGAATATTGTAATTATCCTTCAACTAAAAATAAATAGTTTTTAAAAGCTCAAAATGTATGGGCTCAAATTTTTAACAGCTTACACTCTTTATTATTAGCAAAGCTTTTATCTGCTTCTTAACATTGTAAAACGTTTGATAATTACCCTGAAGAACCAAGCCTAAATCTAATTTTTTTTCTCTTATTTGCTATCTGTAAGTAAGGCGGTATTTCTGGAGTGGTTGGAGGAGTGTAGGGAGTTAGTCAACTGTGTCCCCAGGAAATGGAAAACTGTTGTATTCTTCTATTTTGTTTCATTGAAAAAGATGTATTTGTACCTCTCTTATGATGATTTTTATTTAATACCAAGGCTACCAAGATCATAAACTATACAGAGGATGCATTATGACTTTGGTTAGCCTTCTGCATTTTTGCCTTAATGGACCACTTCCTCCACTAAAAAATAATTAAAATTATATTTTACAACTGTGTTTGCACAAATAGCTATATCAATCCTGACTATACAACCTAGGTAGAAGGAATAATGGTTATTAGGGCTTTGCATTCATAACTCTTAGCATTTTAGTACTCTTATCCTGCCATCCTTCATTTAGTGTTTAGGAACTGCTTGTTTCATTTTTTAATTACCAAAATTTATTTTAGAGCAATTTTAGGTTAACAGCAAAGCTGAGCAGAAAGTAGAGAAAGTTCACACACACCCCCAGTCCCCACACATGTACAATATCCCTCACTGTAAATATCCCACACCAAAGCAGTATACTTTTGTTTTTTGGCCATGGTGCAGGGCAAGTGGAATCTTAGTTACCTGACCAGAGATCAAACCTGTGTCCCCTGCATTGGAATCGTGGAATCATAACCACTGGACTGCCAGGGAAGTCCCAAAGCAGTACACTTTTTATGGTCAATGAACCTGCACTAACACATATTTATCACCCAAACTCCACAGTGTTATATTCGAGTTCACTCTCGGTGCTTTACTGTATGGGTTTTGAATGTGCTATGACATGCATCCACCATGTGGTGATGTGTGGGATCATTTTACTGCCCCGACAATTCTCTGTGCCTTGCCCTTTCATCCCTCCCTCTACTTTAACCCCTTGTTTTTCAGTTGCTCCGTCGTGTCCAACTTGTTGTGACCCCACGGACTGCAGCACACCAGGCCTCCCTGTCCATCACCATCTCTTGGAGCTTGCTCAAACTTATGTCCATTGAGTCAGGGCTGCCAACCATCTCGTCCTCTACCATCCCCTTCTCCTCCTGCCCCCAATCCCTCCCAGCATCAGGGTCTTTTCCAATGAGTCAGCTGTTCGCATCAGGTGGCCAAAGTATTGGAGTTTCAGCTTCAGCATCAGTCTTTCCAATGAACATTCAGGACTGATTTCCTTTAGGATGGACTGGTTGGATCTCCTTGCTGTCCAAGGGACTCTCAAGAGTCTTCTCNCCATGTAAGGTTCTAATCCTTGCTTCTTAACCTGCATGCAGGTTTCTCAGGAGACAAGTAAGGTGGTTTGATACTCCCATCTCTGTAAGACTTTCTCATTGATTGTTGTTATCTGCATAGTCAAAGACTTTAACATGGCCAATGAAGCAGAAGTAGATGTTTTTTCTGGAAATCTCTTGCTTTTTCTATGATCCAATGGATGTTGGCAATTTGATCTCTGGTTCCTCTGCCTTTTCTAAACCTAGCTTGAACATCTGGAAGTTCACATACTGTCAAAGCCTAGCTTGGAGAATTTTGAGCATTTCTTTGCTTGCTTCAACCCATTAAAGCAACCATTAATCTTGTTGTCTACATAGTTTTGCTTTTTTTTCCAGAATGTAGCACAATTGGAATTACACAACATATGCCCTTTTCAGATTGGCTTTTCTCACTCAGTAGTATACATTTTCATTTCCTCTATGTTTGTTCATGGATGGATGGCTCATTTCTTTTTAATGCTAAATAATTTTATACTGTATGGATGTATCACAGTTTATCTTTCAGTTCACTTACTGAAGGACATCTTGGTTGTTTTCAATTTTTGGCTGAAACAAATAAAACTGCTGTAAACGTATGTGGGCAGGTTTTTATATGAACATATGTTTTCAGTTCATCTGAATAGATACCAAGGAGACTGATTGCTAGATCAAAAGTAAAGATGTTTAATTTGGTAAGAAATCACCAAACTATCTTCAAAAATGTCTTCCATATTTCATTACCACCAACACTTAATGAGAATTCCTGTTTCTCCACATCCTCACCAGCATTTGGTGTTATCAGTGTTTTGGATTGTGGACATTTTACTAGGTAGGTAGTAGTATCTCAAGGTTGTAATTTGCAGTCCATTAATTAATGCTTGTTTGTCATATTTATATATTTTGGTAAGATGTGTTTTAATATGTTTGGCTCACTTTTAAACCAAGACATTCATTTTCTTATCATTGAGTTCTAAGCATTTTTTTGGTATATTTTGGATAGCAGTAATTTATCAGATGTGTCTTTTGCAAATATTTTCTCCCAGTGTATGACTTGTCATTGAACTGACAGTGTCCCTAGGTGCGGGAATTTTTAATTTTAATGAAGTTCAACTTATAAATAATTTTTTTCATAGATATGTCTTTGGTATTGTATCTAAAAAGTCATCACCATACCCAAGGTCATCTGGATTTTATTACATTTTTTCTTATAGGAGTTTTAGGGTTTTGCATTTTGCTTTAAAGTCTGTGATCCATTTTGAGTTAATTTCTGTGAAGCTTAAGAAGTCTGCATCTGGATGTTTAGATTCTTTTATTTTTCTGTACAGGGATGCTCACTTACTCTAGCACTAATATTTGAAAAGTGTTCTTTTCTCCATTGTACTGACTTTGTTGGTCTATTTCTGCATTCTCTATTCTGTTCCATCAATCTGTTTGATTATTCTTTTGCCATTACTTAATTATTTTGGTTAATGTATCTTCATAGATTATTTTGAAGTCAGGTAGTGTTAGTCTTTCAAATTTTCTTCAAAATTAAGTAGGCTATCTGCCTCTTTTGCATGTTTATATAACTTTCAAATCAATTTGTTGATATCCACAAAATATCTTGCTGATATTTTAATTAAATATGTAATATCTCTAGATCAAGTTGGGAAGAACTGACTTTTGACAGTATTGAATCTTCTTATCTGCAGATTTTTCCCCCCATGGGACATCTTTCCATTTATGTAGTCTTCTTTGATATCTTTTGTCAGTAACTTATAATCTTCCTCATAGGAACTGTTAGTTTCTTAGTAAGAACTTTTACTCATTCAATAAGTTTAGTTTGCCCCTGTGACCATAAATAGCCTTGTGAAAAGAAGTCTACGTGCTTTCTTGTGTAAACCTTGGGATGTACTTCAAAGTGACTGGGCTTGGTAGACCACTTTTGCTTTCTGACCTGTTTTTTCATAGCATTAATCTTTAAAATTGATAAATACTTTTGCTCATATTTTGGAGATTATTTATTATAATCCTTACCAAGATTCAAGGAGAAATATCATAATTTTGGATTTTCCAGATCATGAAATATTGAGTAATCACCACCGTTTTTGTTTTAACCCTATTTCACTGAGAAATGATCAGAATTTATACCTACTTCTGAAACAGACAGTAGCTTTGAGTTATATTATCTTATTTTAGAAAGAGTGTACCTGATACTATCTTTCTTATAATGCAGACTTTTATTTACTACTCCCAGCCCGTTTCCAACTGCTTGAATTTACCATTTGTGTTTTAGAAGAAAATGATTAAATGTGTGTCAAGAACTCTAAAACTTACTTGATACATGACATGATACCATAATTTTAAAAACATAGAATTTTCTCTATAAAATCAATAAGTTTCAGACATATATTCTCTGCTTATATTATTTAAATAATAGACACATAAATTATTTTATATATAAACTCTCCTTTTCAAGATTATTAATTTTTTCCTATTTTTAATAGGCATTCTCTACTTAAGATATTACCTGCTCTAAGAATCCTGAATGGTGAAAGGTTAACCTCTTATTCAGAAAGTCACAGTGAAGAACACTATAAACTAGAATTGGAGCATTTCCTGGAACACTGTCAGTCCCAAATTAGAGAATTTAACTTACTAAGTGAAAAATATATTACTGGAGACAGGTAAGACTGTTATCTTCTTCTTGTAATGAAAAGATACAGTACAATTTATACAAAGCATTTAAAATTTTTCTGATCAATATAGTGCTCCTTTTTTGACTTTTACAGTATGTTTTAGGAATATTTTCTCTTTAAAAAAGAAATTTATGAGCATCATCTTTCATTATTTGAAATGTATTAATCTGTATTTTGAGCATATTTTAAAGGCTAAAATTAGATTAAAATAAATGAAAGCATGAAATAGCTTCACAACAATATACAAACATTCANTACAGTCCAAGGGACTCTCAAGAGTCTTCTCCACCACCACAGTTCAAAAGCATCAGTTCTTTGGCACTCAGCTTTCTTTATAGTCCAACTCTCACATCCATATGTGACTCCTGGAAAAACCATAGCTTTGACTAGACAGACCTTTGTTGGCAAAGTTAATGTCTCTGCTTTTTAATATGCTGTCTAGGTTGTTCATAACTTTCTTCCAAGGAGCAAGCATCTTTTAATTTCATGGCTGCAGTCACCATCTGCAGTGATTTTGGAGACCCTCAAAATAAAGTCTGTCACTGTTTCCATTGTTTCCCCATCTATTTGCCATGAAGGGATGGGACCAAATTCATGATACATGAATTCAGTGTATTACTATAAATGAATTATAATTGATACATTAAAACTCTATTTTATGATTTATACTACTCCAAGAAACACAAGTGAAAAATAAAAGTTATTTTATACTTTCATATGATGTCTACATTATAAATGGAACAATGAAATGTGCTTCCCAGTGTCTAAAATTAATTGCTAAATTACATATTAACTTTTTACTATTTGTACTTTTGTATATGTTCATGCTATGTAAGAGTTGGTTTTTCTATTTAAATGGGTTTTTTTAATATAGTCTATTCAGATTATAAACAAATCTCACAGCTTTAAAAGTAATTCCAATTGTTATGGATAATGTTTACTTTAAATAAATAGCTTATTTTACATTTATATTTTTGTAAATCTAAATTGATATCTCCTTGTGTATGTGTGGTAACCTATGATTTTTATGTAAAGATGACTCTTAACCCTCATGTTGAAATTTAGATTTACAGTTATTTGTAAGAATTTATTGTTATTGCAGTTAAGTATCACTTTAGTTTTGGAAATTGACCATTTTTATGTTACATCATAAATGGTGGTGAATTCAACACTTAGCCATAAACAGTTGACATCCAATATTGAAGGGAACTTTTTCTGCATTATTCACCAACAAAAAGGATATATTAACATATATTAGAGGAATCTATGCTAACGTCTCCATTTGTAAACATAGAAAGTGTCTATCTCTACACTTTAGGAAATATAACTTTCATTTTGCTTGGAATACTTAAATCCAACAATTATTCAGGAGAATCACAGACATTTATGTCTTAAAAGTATTTGAATTATCTTTGCAACAGATTTTTTTTCCAGAGAAAAACGGAAATAAAAACTTTCCCATAATGTAAGTTATTTGTTTAAATGTCCAATACAAATATTTTGCATGGCAAAAGTCAGTGTACAAAGTACTTTTAATTTTGTTTCATAAATAACTTCTCCAAATTTAGGCAGCCATGATTTCTTGTGTTTATGGCAGTAAAAGCATGGATTTTTCTCATTCACTTGTACCAAAAATACCTAGGATAAAAGTGATTCTAAAACTTTCAGATATTTTGTTTAGATTAATGGATTGAGATTAACTACAGAAATATTTTCACTTTTTGTGAGTAATAAGATCAGTTTTTATAAAAGCAATCAGAAATCAAGTTTTAATGAATTTTGTAGTAAAATTTAATATTCATGTCAGGCCACCACAGGGTTATTTTCAAAGTCTGTACAGGTGTTACTATTTGTTGATACAATTCTTTTTATTAAATGTCCTCATTATTTATTTGCTCAGAAATATTTTCACCTTGGATGTTGCACAAAATCTCTGCTATTATTTTAAGAAATTGATGACACTTAGTAACGAATGTCGATGTGTTCATGAACATGGGGATGTAACTATCACCAGGAGAGGTGAATCAGAAGCCCAGCAAAATTATTTACCTCCTACACACAGTGATAGCATTCAGCAAAATAGAGTTCTTTACTCTTTTGCAAATGAATATAAACTGAACTCGCCAGATATTTCTGAGAAATGGATGGACTCTGGCCCTAGTCATTTCTCATCAACCAACCCCTCCTTATGTGAAGATACTAAAGAAAGAAATCAGTTAGAAATAGTAGAACAGAAAAGAGAAGATAGCAAGACAAGCAGTTTCCCCAGCAAAACAATACCGTTCATTGAAACAGTAAGGACAAGGTTTCTGCTGAAGAACTGCCAGAATACTGAACATCATGAAAAAATGTAAGTTTTATAGATCATTTTTCTTTTACAGTTCTGTTTTATTATTTTTATGGATAATGATAACTTGGTAAAGGATTTAAATCCTATCATATTTCATGTCTATTTCCTTATGTTTTATGATATGCACAAATTATTAAATACAGTACAGATTAATTTGGCTGAATTTTGGCAGGTTCTTATTTAATCAACTAGTATTATTTAATTTGAGTAACTGTGAAATTATTTTCTCTGCCTTCTAATCTCTAAATAATTGAAATGAACTTTTAATAAGAAATAAAACAATCCCATTATTCTTAAAATACTATAAAGACCTCTCACATGAGGATCTTAGGACATGCTTCCAAGGAAGTTCAGAAAATCCCTTCTGCACATGCCTTTTCTCAAATCCCTTGAGTTAAAAATAGTCCCTGGTAGCTCAGTTGATAAAGAATCCATGTACTATGCAAGAGACCACAGTTCAATTCCTGGGTCAGGAAGATCTGCTGGAGAAGGGATAGGCTACCCACTCCAGTCTTCTTGGGCTTCCTTTGTGGCTCAGCTGGTAAAGAATCCACCTGCAATGCAGGAGACCTGGGTTTGATCCCTGGGTTGGGAAGACTCCCTGGAAAAAGGAAAGGCTACCCACTCCAGTATTCAGGCCTGGAGAATTCCATGGACTGTATAGTCCATGGGGTCACAAAGGGTCAGAAAATGACTGAGTGACTTTCACGTTCACTAAAATATTCAGCATGCCAAGTATATTGGTATGTTTTGGGATACTTTTAGCCAGGATACCCTAGACATTACCTGTTTGAATCCTTTTAGCTCTAAACACTCCAGACATAGTCTGTTGAAATTTCAGATAAACAACATTGAGCTGTTTTAATTCATGGTAAATAAAATTGCCAAATAATAATAAGAAAGGGTGAGGAACTGAAGATATAGACAAACCAAAGACCCAAAGAATAAAGGGAAAAGAAAATGTATGCCCACTTGCTGGACCTTGCCATTCAGCGTTTCAGGAAGATTCATCGTCAGTTGGGCTGTGGTTTCCTCAGCATAATTTTCATATGTTCCTGTGCTAAGGGCATTGTTAGCATCACTGTTTTTTACTTAAAAAAAATATGATGCTGATGATAGTAATAATATGAGCTGCTTTTCCCAACACGGAGAGCTCCTGACATTCAGGAAGCCCTAGGTCAGCTCCTTTACCTTTTACTGCTTTCTGTGTGGCGAAAAGCAGTCCCACTGTTAGTGTCACTGAGGAAAATATTCCTCATACACCTTTTTATTTTCTTCCTTGAGAAACTTTAAAGACAGTGGGCTGAGGAATTCAAGCGCTAAATGACTGGTCAGCTTTCTAAGACACTCAGGATTACAGTCCATGAAACTTGTATGTATCTGTAGAGAAATATAAGGCGCTGTCTCAGGTTAAATGTGTTTTCTTACTAGTCTTTCAATCTTTCGGTTTAAACAACTTTTCATTCTTTGCCAGTTATACATTGCAAATATGTTTTCAGATTTTTTTTCTTTATCACCCAAATATGCAAGGGTATTATTGTGCCTTAAAATTCCTTAACTCATTTTTTAATCTTTTTAAAAATTATTTTATGTTGGAGCATATTTAATTAGCAGTGTTGTGTTAGCTCCGGTGTGCAGCAAAGTGATTCATTTACACGTATACATATATCTACTCTTTTTCAAATTCGTTAACTCATTTTTGTCCAACAGAAGAAGGAATGAATTAATGATTGAATGCTCAAATGTGAATTAATTCCATAGCAAAGTGTACTGAGTTCTATTTACCCTGGTACTGTTGCCTGGAAAATTCCACGGACAGCAGAGCCTGCAGGCTGTCATCCATGGGTCACGAGGAGTCAGACATGACTGAGTACGCAAGAGCACCGTTTACCCTAGAAGGAGGAAATGTTTTGTTGAAACATGATTTTTCTTCACAGAAAGTTTTACCCACTAATTTAAATTCATAGCAAAATAGATTGAAGACTTCCACAGGCTTTACATAAAATGGTGGTTATGCTGATAACAGTATTCATAGCAACAGAAAATGATTACCTCATTCCATTTTGCATACCTGCTAAGTTGCTTCATTAGTTCCGGACTCTTTGTGACCCTATGGACCATAGCCCACCAGGATCCTCTGTCCATGGGGATTCTTCAGTCAAGAATACTGGGGTGGGTCGCCATGTCCTCCTCCAGCGGATCTTCCTGACCTAGGGATCAAATCCACATTTCTTAAGTTTCCTGCATTGGCAGGTGGATTTTTTACCACAAGCACCATCTTGGAAGCCATCATTTCTGGCAGTTTATTGCTTAATTCCACTTAGCCTTAAACTCACTTCGTTTGAAAAAAAAAAAGAAAAAAAAATTTCTTTGGGCTCCGCAGTTATAAAATTATTGAAATTTTTTCAAGGGAGCCTGGGAAAGTGAATGTGCATCAGTCACTTCTCCTTTATATGTCTTTTAAAACTGAACTCAAGGTTCTGAAAAGCAATTAAGACAATAGTTAGCACTTTGACTATGCTGTGTACCTTGATAATATTTCTGCAGTAATCTGTGTGGGAAAAGGAAAGCATATCCAATGATGAAGCATTAAATTATTCAGCAAATTGAGAACCCAATTACAGTCAACATACATTGCTGTTAAATTTTTGCTATTGTTGTTGGGCAGCTTATGGGGATATGAGGAAGACACAGTGCTGATTGATGGGATGCCAGATAATAGCCAATAGACGTAGACTGGAAAAATGTTAGAATTTACCACTGGGCTTGTAAGAGAATGATTTATGTATTTGTCCATGGGCAGGGAGGAAAATGAAGCTCACAAAGCCCTGATGAGTCCTTTCTCTGAAAATGAAGGAGGGCCCTTCTTCCTCTCAAAACCTAATCTCCGCACTGTGAACAAGATCCCATCCTCTCTTGCCAACTCAACACTGACTCCAACTTTGTCCCCCTCTTCGCATCATCACTTTTCCCCCCTTAATCCTGGCTCAAATTCCCACTATCATACAAAGTCCCGGTAATATCTTCCTCCTTAAAAGAAACAAAAATCCCTAAGACTCATATCACTAAGTTACTGGCCCATTTCTCTCCTTCAGATTTGAAGGTGTCCATATTATTTTTACTTCTATGACTACAGTTAAATAAAAGAGCAGGTATTATTTTAAAATAATACTTTATATAGTCTAATTTACAAATAAATATAGCTTATGAGGATCTCTTATCTGCAGCTGTATATTATGGATACTAAAAATAATTTTTTCTCCTCTTAATAGTATGGCAGCTCTGGTAATCCAGGCGTACTGGCGTGGTTACATTGTGCGCAGGCAGATTCATTTCTCTGCAGAGCTACACCCTGCTACAATAGGACCCCTGACATCCCAGCCAAATTCTTGCATCGAAAAACAAACTGTTTTAAAGAAAGAAAAAATTAAAAATACCGTGAATATCCAAGAACAGGAGGAGAAGGCTGCTATTCTTATTCAGGTTAGTTTTAGTCTTTGGATGAAACAATTAATCTTGAGACACTTGTTAGTTTTCTTTCACTGGGTTATTCTGTATATCCGGCAGTCCCTGAATCACAGCAATTTACAGATACCTTGATTTATTTCTTACTCATGTGACAGGTAGGCTGCAGGTGTCTGCAGGGTGACTATGCCTCTATTTGGGATCTAGGCTGAAGCAGTAAGTCTGTAATTTGTAAATTCTTATGGTCAAGCTGAACCACAAAATTGTATTGAAACTTATGCTCCAATGTGGCATTTGTCACATATGCTAACATTTGATTAGTCGAAGCCAGTTCTTGGCCTCATCTAGAGCTATATCTAGAAGCATGTTTCAGTTCAGTTCAGTCGCTTAGTCGTGTCCGACTCTTTGCAACCCCATGAATTGCAGCAC